ATAAAAAAAAACATTCAAAAATCAAAATTAATATTCTTGGTAGGAAAGAAAAAAAATTATATTGATATAATTCTTTGACCTTTCATTTATAAAATGTGCATAACATTATTCTGCGATGGTTTGAATAAAATAAAGGTGGGATGCATCCACGAAAGAGAAAATAAATAAATGAAGCCTCCTAATGTAATTTGTTATGGCTATATGCATTGGAGTTGGTAAGATAATATGGTTGTTAAGTCATGATGAAACCACCTTTTTAGAAAATTGAAGTTGTCATAATAAGTCCAATAATGTAAGCTGTAATGAATGATTTCTGTGAATGGTGAAAAAGAAACATTGAATTTCTCATTTAAATCAAACAGGTTAATATTGAGATACAGGTCGAACTATTTATTCATCAGCAAATAAATCAATAAAGTGATACGGAGCTGGTAAAATGAAGACCTGGATATATTAAAATTGTTTAACCTTGGAAATTCACAAGTATACACGACAATACAATCTAACCTAACATTAAAGATCTAACGTAGAATTTAAAAAGCAAGCAAATCAATATTTGCTTGCTTGGTATTATCAGGCCAACCGATCTTGTTAACATGTTAACAACAACAGAGGCAAAAAGTTAGAGGAGTAAATTTTTAGAATTTATGATATAATTCATAAAAGTTATGATAAAATTGATGAAGAAATAAGAAGATACAATTTAAAAGTCATTAACGGATTGAACAACCGGTATGTATGTAAATATATAAAATTATATAGGCCTATATTTCAAACATTATTACCCTTTACATTACGTTTTTATTCAGGTGTGTTAGAAAAATATGGATTCATTTATTGGAGCGTGGTTTTGCGGTCCGTGCCGACATTGATATCTCTCAAGAGTTGATATTGGATAGTTTGTCTGATAGTGTTAAGAATGCATCTGTTGTTGTCGCATATTTATCGAAAGGATACATGGCGAATAATGTCTGCAAAACTGGTAAGAGATTTCTAAAAGCATTTTTCCATCATTATATTACGTAATGGATGAATTTGTTCGTTATTATTATTATTTTAAATACAGTTAATTATCAAGATTAAGTATTCTTAAGTGCTCGAAAGTTGAGCTATTATAGCGTGCTTGAAATCAGGTTACAGAAAACAATCTAATCGTAATTCTGTAAATTTGTATGAGCTAAATGAGAAGCAAGGATGCTACCTAGAGCGTTTGTCTGATCTAGGCAACAAAAAACCTTGCCAGTTAGTCAAATTATTAAGAGTACACGTACAGAAAACAAACTGTTCAGTATTGCACTATAAAACTATATTTTACCAGGATTACATTTCAGTAGCATAATCCAATATAGTATTATAGAGTTTTATGCACTGTTTTTCAAATGGTCGTGGAAACGTAATGAAAACTATTTAAATATCATTATGTAAAGATATTGCGAATATTGTAGGATTAATTTGAATTAAAAAGCTTTAATCTCTATCGCGATTTGAAATTGTAAATACTTAGGGCATTTTGGAATTCTAGAGGGAGAGAGTTCCAGCATCTGGCACCTGCAACCTTAAATGACATACACATTTATTCAGGTTTTATTGGTTCTATAACAACATTTAATGTATTTGTATTGCCGGTGTTATGTGTGTGTCGATCAAACCTCGTCGGGGCCAGCCCATGTACGCATTTATACATTAGGCAGTTAATGGCATAATCTCTCATTTCTTCGAAGCTTGGCCAATCTAAGCTTTTAACTAAATCATTCTCCCTATAATTAATGTAATCAACATTTCTTGTTTAATTATGCGTGCATCTTTTCTGAATTCGTTTGATAATGTTTTTGTTTTCAGTTGTATTTTCCTAGACAGTTAGTGCATAGTCAGTTGTTGATTGTATAGTGATTATATAAAGTTGATCTAATAGCGATTAAAAAAATTTCCTTATTTCAAGAACATGATCATTCCATGAAAAATTTTCATCAAGTTGGATGCCCAAATAACGAATACATTTAACTTGTTCCACTGGATTATTGTTTATATGAATTTTTAGTTTATCCTCGTGTGAGACTTTATTACATTTAAATAACAGTACTTTGAATTAAGAGAAAGATGGTTTTTAAAGTACCATTGGTTAACATTATCCATCATTTTTTGAAGGTCTGTGTTTATGTCATAAATATTCTTACCAGATGTATATACAACTATATCGTCAGCAAAAATGATGCAGCCTGCGAAAGGGCATTTATAAACAAATGATGCACTTGATTATTTTATTATGCCTTTACAATGCCCCATGCGCATTTCAAACTACTAGTGGCATTATAATAGTAATTACTAAAACTCTGTGCAGATTATCAAATTTTCTTTTACAAAAATCTGCTCTATGCCCATAATTATATGTGCGTATATAAAGTCATGATGTGATATCATGAACGTATTTAAGCATGTCACTGGATAGAAAGTTCCATTTCTTATCATCATACGATTCTTAGATAATAAGGTATTTTTTATTATTTTCTGATCATTTTAAACCTGAAATATAAATCCGTTACAGTTTGCAGGTACAGTCGACTTTACAACAAACAGATTGTAGCACTGAGCCTGTACACGGATCTGACGTTTCATGAATGGGTTACTGAACTTCAGCGATCCTATCGGTCAATGACTCTCATTGATATCTCAAGACTTGGAACACTCCTTAATGTGGTCGAAGAACTCGTTAAGATCTTGCAGAATCACGATGACTTAACTAGATTTACAGAGGTAAGAACTCATAGGCCTTTGTGAAGAACATGTTATTACAACCTCGAGGTCGGGGGTTCGAAACTCTCGTTGTGCAAATCGCTTGTGTCCTTGGGCAAGGCACATTATCTACGGTCGTCTCTCTCCACCCAGGAGTAGGCCTACAAATGGGTACCTGGTAGGTTCCAACACAACTGCGCTGATTAATAGCTGCAATATTATGGAATAATAATATAATTTAATTTAATAATTTAATTTGGTGATGAGTATGTATTCTATATGTGTTTGATCCAATGACCTGGGTAGAACTGTGAAGCGCTTAGAGGCTTTGTGCATGAGCGCTATATAAGAACGACAGATTATTATTATTATTATTATTATTATTATTATTATTATTATTATTATTATTATTAACACACAAGTAACAACGATGATAATGATAATAATGATGATGAAAATAATAATGATAATAATGTAAAGCACAATTCACATTATCAAAGTGCATTTGACAAATGTGTGTGATGTGCCCATATATGGGTATGATGATGTCATATTACACCCAAATTATGAGCATAGGCCTATCACATGTTTTTGTCACATAGACTTCGATAGCGTGGATAGAACCTAAGAATGATAATAATTCTAATGAATTGCTTTCGACGAATTTGATTCTAATATTATTAGAATAATTATTATAATTAATAACAATAATAAATTATCAATAGGCATGGTATTAGTAGTATTATCCCGTATATGCTCTTAGTCCTTACCATTAGATACATTCCCAACATCAATAAGAGCTAAAACTAATCGACAGTTACCAGACGATGGATTTCCAGATGAAGATGGAACTTCATCGACAACACGAAATCCAATCAAGAACAGAAAACAAAGGATTGCATATAGTACACCGACAGCAGAAGCAATTGTGGTAACAGCAACCTCCCTTAGGAGCTCTTCTGTACAAGCAGGAACAGCAGTTGAGAATCCTTCCAAAGGATTTCAATTAGCAACGAAGAGTCCTACACAAGATCAAGTAGCTGCATCTGACACTCATCGAGGTAAGGCAATTGTTATAGATTTTCTGAAACTCAAACGCAGATGCCTTCAAATTCTACATGGATTTTATAATTCCGGTTTTACAGGAATTTGGCTCCCATTGAATTCGCACCTATGCCTATCTGTACGTAACATTCGTAGTGAACTGGAACACTCCATGACAAACTTGTTAGGGGGCGAAATTTACTATGAAATCAGACCGGAGCGGAACTGGTGACACAAGAAGTATTATAATCATCGGAGATTGAGTTCAATTGAACATTTCTTGTATAAGACCTACATTAAATGATAAAATACCTATCATAGGCTTATTTAGACCTAAGTAAGTTTTTAACTTTTAATAATAGAATGTCAGAGCAAATTTACAAAAGAATAATATAACTGATCCATTTTTGCTTTTTAATCTGTGACACATTGAAAGTTGACTATTCAAATAAACAATTTAATAATTTCAAGTGTTCTCAAAATTGACAAAAGAGGTGCAAGAGGTTGGTAAAGGACAACGGAAATGTCCTTCTTTGGTACTGAAAAATTATGCAAGTTCCAACCAACCATAACAGCCTACTATTATAGGTACAGATCAAGAAATTCAAAATACAAGGGGCTAGGGAGGGACTTTATCAGGTGGAGGGTGTAATCAACTCAGCCGCACCATGGTTAGTGCTGAGGTAAGAAAATGTGGTTACGGCACCTCCAGACGGAAATGGCATTCTTAGACCTAAATTTTAATATAATTTTTTTGTCTCTATTTTATAAAAATAATTTTTGAAAATTTCTTCCCCCATTGATTCCGCCGCTGTTAGCAATGTATTTGCCAATCGTTGAAGGGAGGAACTGTCTCAGCTTCTGGATACATCACTCATGACTTCATGAATTTATGTATTTGCAGTCATAAGTAATAATGATGTGTTTTTGTTGATTCCATTAGACTACAGTATTCAAACTAATACAATTTCTTTCACTTTTTACAGAAAACGTATCTTCACAGACAGGAGAAATGACACGGTAAGCCAGCCTATACATGTGGAAATCCAGTCAGGAAGTGCAATACTTTACTACCTACTGTTGTGCTGAAAAAATACTTAATTGTTTATTACAATTTTCCAAAAATGTTTTATTAAAAATGTTGGCGTTACCGATTTACATGATTTACAATTCTACTAATATCAAGTTATAATTTGAAAATGTTTATCACATCTTTATGTTTTGAACCGACAAAATAGTTCATAATATACAGTACCGACATAAGAATTACATTTTCTCAGATTCACAAATGAAATTGGTGAAGTTTTGTGTTTTGTTCGCACTTCTCCGAATCATCATGTTACAAAAGTCAGTAAATTAACCAGTGTAATGAAAATCGAATTGGACGATGACCAGGAACTCATAAGTGAAGTTCTAAAGTTAGACCCTGATGATAATGTATGCAAGGATTCTACAATTACATTTGGAATACCTCTTCACGCTGGATACCAACCAATGGCGTCAAAGCATCTTGTTGGAAAATTGTCTATGGACAGTGGCAGGACATGGAAAACAATTAAATCGTCAATAAAAACTTACCAGGTAAGACATTTTTTTAAATTCTGTAAGAAAGAATTAGTTTGAGTTTGTTGTAACAAAAAAACAAAGATGGAGAAAAACATTGCTATTATCACACAATTAAGTACAACCATTTCAGCGACAAATCTAGAGCATATCATATCTATTTTCCAAATCCAAAAATATATTTGAGACCGATCCTTTTTCAAATTTTGGTGACGGCTTTAGGACTTATATAGGTATCACGTGGTATAACATGGCCTAATTTTGTTGAAGTGAAAAACGTTAGCATGGCAGTGTGATCATTTTACAGGGAATAACTGTTTGTGAATTACAAGGCAACCCATTTGGAATATACGGAATTATCTCTGGTTTGGTGAAAGACTCTCATACGATTGGCCGAAACGGAGGCACAATAAAATTAACGACTGACCCCCAGGTGTGTTTGAGTTTCAAACAGAATGATTTACGGACTCCAGAAAAAGTGCAAATCATGGTAAGTGAATTCTTGAATGTAACTGTAGGACTACCTTATATTTCACTAGAAGTTTTTGTCTTGAAAATATATAATTGTATGATTACAACAGCAATATTTAATTACAAAATATATGTATAAGTTAACATAAAAATATACGCACTCAATATTAATCGAAAGTTTTAATCATAATAATTTAATATCTTTAGGTTCGACCTGTCGAAAAAGCTGCCAAAAACCTGAACCAGTATTCTGTTATATCCTGCAGTCCATTCTTAGTTGTCGAATTCGAAACAAATCGTGCAACGGATGTACCAGTGAAAATCACACTACCTGTCAGACAAATATCAAATGACAACACCACTGTGGAACCTCACTGCAACAAAAGTCACCGGCCAAGCACAGCTCCAAGTCGTCATAACTTCCAAACTAAATTAGAGCCACCATCATTCCATGTGCTTTCCAAGTTACGGACAGGAACATGGAAACAAGACAAGGTTGTTGATGTTGAACGCCCGTTTAATGATACCGTCTCTTTTTCTACAAAAGGTCTTCATAAAAGGTACAAAATGATTTATTTCAAAGTGCAAAAAATAAGAATAATAATAAATAATAATAATATACCGAATCGTGATGAAAATGGCGTTGATGAGACAACGACGATTATGAGTATAATGATGTAGGTCATGATGATAATAGAATGTTGGAATGATGATAATGGAATGTTAGAATTATGATAATGGAATGTTGGAATGATGATAATGGAATGTTGGGGGCGATGGAAAGATTGAATGTTGAAATGATGAAAGGATGAAATGATGGGTCATGGAATATTGGAATGACGGAAAGATCGAATGTTTCCAATAAAAACAAATGTATATGATGATAACTGACAAATATAATTTTTCATTGTAGCAACAAAATGGTCGTATTTGAATCAACGTCAACCGACCGACTTTCGGAAGTAGCTGACATTCTGGAAAATGCCTGCAATAAACAGACTGTGAACATCATCTTAAACCACCACAAGGACAACGATGAGAATTTTATAACACGAATTGTCTCTAGTGAGAACTGTAAAAACACGCTTGTGGAACTTAGGGAAGAGAATTACTGCGGGCCACCGTCTCCCAGTAAAGATGTTCTGCTCAAAGAAGGTCAGCTGATGAAGATAACTACAGAAGGAAATATCAGAATCATGGGTAGAGATAAAATTACGTACCGATTTTATAAAAATCTACGAGTTAAAGAGGAGTTTTTAGTAGAAGTTGTCGATCCACTGAAAGATATCCAAAGGAGATGCTACATGGGGAAGTGCATATTTTCAGTAGAACATTCGGATAAGTCTGGAAATTGTTCGATTAAGCGTAAAGAACGTAGTACAGACAACACATGGGAAGAACTGGTGGTATTTGATATTTGCCTGAAGGTATATAAAAATTACTTTGTGTAAGGTGTACTACTACTGCCTGCTACTACTGCTGCTGCTACTACTGTACTATCATTGTACCATTGTATAACCATGGAGGTATGTTTTATACCTCCATGGTATAACTGATGTTAACAAATAACACAATACACAGGGGAGCTACATTGTGCTGAATTTTAGTGTCATTATTTTCTTATTTTGTTTGTGTTGCTATGGTTTGCCAAACTATCTTTTTAAACGCTGCTTAATAGACGTAATGTTAATTGCTTTTCCTTGTTCTTCCTTAATATTTAATCAGATTATGTTGTTGATTTTATCTTATTGTTATTCCTCTGCAGCATTCTGGCTATATATCGTATTCATGCAAACAACTATGTTCTCTACTTCTCTACATAAATTAATTTGATAAACACTTATGCTTGGCTCACACAATTAATGATTTGTTTTTTTTTTTAGAAGTATGAAACACACTTAACAAGAGAAGTGCATCTAGACGAAACTCCTCATGGTCAGTTGCATTTATTTTTCGATAATTAGGCCTAATCAACCGGTATATAACTTTATTTGCAATGCAATTTATTTAATCAGCATTCACAAGAGGCAAATAAAAAGCTTAAAAATTTTCAAATGTGTATATTACTTAATATAATAGGCCTACACAATGTAACATTATCAACCATCATTGATATTGTCAGCAATTTTCGTTAATAACAAGTGAAATGGCGTCCAAAGAACCTTAATTAAGCAAACTAGGGAACCAGTATTTACACAATTACTATACTATACGTGATTCAAACTGGATGGTAAAGCAATACTCGGAAAAAAAAAACAATAATATAATATACATCTTTTTGTTAGAAACAGTAATGTATTAACGACGGTGACGTAAATATATATAAATCTCAAAAAATTTTAAGGGTGTTGTTTTAAATTTTTCAGATTTGTTGTCTGAATCTGTCATACAAGAACTAACTGACAAATTAGGAGTGGAGTGGACACGGCTTGGAATACATCTTGGATTATCTAATGCGCAAATTCAAAGATTAAAACTTGACTACAGTCACACAAGAGAAAGAAGCTTCCAGATGTTAATTCTTTGGTTACATTCAACTTCTGGTAAACTGTCGAAGATTCGGCAGTTATCGCATGCTTTGATTAAGGAAGGGAGGTGTGACTTGTCGCAGTGGTTACAAATGAAACTAGGATGAATTCCAACCTAAAAGTGTAGAAAAGAATTTTGGAAGCTCATGGTACAATTATGACTCGATGAGGTATTATTCGAAATATCGGCAGGCACGAACTTGGCATGCCTAACCTTTTTTTGTGCAATTAAGAAATCCAACGAACTAGGAGATTTTTAATAACATACAGCAGGGACGAGGAGAAGAACATACATGCACATCTATTTCAAAAAGTATATTTGAATCTATATAGATACCATCGTTTAACTTACTACTGACGTTTTTAGTCAAATGTTATCCAATGGTCTAAAATTATGTATTCGTATCATTTTTAAAACCTTTATATAGGCCTGTACATGTTCTATAAGCATATACGCATAGCATTGTTTGATTGTGATATCCAATCGTTTATGTATTGACAGAACAAGGTGATAGGACAGAACGAACATGTTTCATAACCGCTTACTACTAGCATTTTCCCTAAAATACATAGGCCTAATACATGTTTAATTACAAAATACTATAACTATATCAGTAATATGTACAATATTTATAAATCAGATTATGCTTACCAGAACTGTGAAGTTTCTGATTCTAAAAACGAACATTTTTCACGCTAAATTTGACTTTTCTCAGCAGTATAGCTGGAAAATCTTATCTTTTCTAATTTTGTTTTCTTCCATTCTATAATCGTTTTTCCTATCTTTTTGCACTGGAGTTTTCCGGCCGGCCCTTTGGTCACTTTCCATGCCTGGATCTTTTCCAAACTTTGTCCAAGCATAAACAATAATAATAACAGGGGTGTGTGTCTGGGGACCATTTAAAGGGAAAACACTCTATACTAGACATTTTCAAACCGAAACATCTGATCTGAATGAAACTTTTAGGAACTATAACCAGGTTGCATAGAAGAAATTAGTACATTTTGGGCCCAAACCTATAGGCCTATCTCAAACAACTTATCAATGGATCTAAACGAAGCTTCCAGAGTCGCTCTCAATCACTAAATTACTATGTATCAACTATGTACTAAAAATGCACTGACCTACGTAGGGTCGGTGAGTCTCCATATCTCTCTCACTATTACCATATTATAGTTCGAGTCTCACTAACGTCGCGTTGTCTTTCATGTTTTTTTTTTAACTTGATATCTTGTTATTGGCTTTTCCAGTTTTAGCAGAAATAGCCGTTGCTTTTGTTATAATTTCTTTTGTTTCTTTTAGCTTTTTTCCATGTTTTTCATAACGGCACCTTGGTCACTTTCCGTGTATAAATCTTCTTCAGGCATTGTTCAGTCAAAGACCATATTATAAAAAATAATGTGCATATCAAAATATGACTTCATTCTACACACTTTGAATATTATGTTCCACATTGAATTATTTATCATAAAAATCATACATTTGTGCTGCAATTAACTCTGACTAATCACTAACCATAACAAAAAAGCTATCGTATTGTGCCAATCGTGTAACATAATTCGATCGTAAACATTTATATGTAAAATAAAGAGTGTTTGACCAAGTGTATTCCGTCTTTTGTTTGATCTTTTTGCATCCATAACAATCTTGGAAGCTCATCGTAT